CCGATAACATCCACTGTATATTTTGTGGGTCGTCAGCCTGGGTGGTTAGGGGAGGCTGGTTAAACCTCTGACGCTTTTTGTTGCCCTACGTTGTGCAGTATCGAGCGCGGTCAGATGGTGCTTGAGCAAGGTTTGCCACGCTTGGATAGCGTATTCCGCGTGCGGCCTCACGTAGGCACTAAGCATTTTTGGGAAGACTGAAGGGGCAAACTTCCCGAAGGCTTTACGAAGAAGGTCGAGGTACTGGTTCACTTTCTTAGCTGCCTTTTCAGTCTGCCTCGAACAACCGAGGTCAGCTTGAACTATCACACCGAGATTGCACTCGTGAGAAGCCCGCTGTAGAATTTGTGGTTCTAGGCGGTACTCGTGCATACTCTTGTGCCGTATACTGAGAATTTGCATTTGGTGACGTTGAAATGCAGCATATTCTTGATGGATCAAGTGTACGCTTTGTCCAGGTCCTCCTGTAAGAATGTGTGATCCTCCACTGCAGCTATAGTACGCCATACCTTTAGGTCATCAGCAAATAGCAAAAAGTTAGAAGATAGCACACTCGCGAGATCATTTATGAAGACCAGGAACAGGCGGAGTCCAAGTACCGAGCCCTGAGGTACGCCGCATTGAAATTCGATGGCTTCTGATAGGTTGCTTCGAACCCTCACATTCAGGTGACGTTGCAGGAGAAAGTCTCCTATCCAGCCCAGAACAGTGTTCCTTGATACGGATAGTATTCAAAAACTCACAGAAATCCAAGTAATGCATTATTTGTTGTCTTAAAGTATTGTTACCCATGAATTCCTTATTGAATCGAAACAGTTGTTCAGCCTCGTTGCATATTTTGCAAAGAACCGTATTTGATTTTGATTTTTGATGAGACTGATAATTTTCCTTCAAAGTAGGCAAATACAACATTACAGATAACTAACTATGTATATCAGCAATGCTTGTATATGAATTATATGTGTAGTGAATATGTCCAGCACGCTTTAGTTACTGCCTTACATTTACAAGTAAATTTATTCAGGATGGTGCTTGTAATACTAGATAGACTTATGCATTTGTCTGTGACAAATATTTTAAGTGATTTTAGCTCGATGTGACAATGAGTACTAAGAAGTCTGACTATCGCTTTCTAGCAATTTTGATTAGCACTCATAACACTATGAAAAACTGTTTTTATAATGTTCTTCCGAGAGAGAAAGTCAACCTGTTTACATTTATTGAGCTAGAATTTGTCATCTTTCCAAGGAATCGACATTTGTCTGTGTTTAGTCTATTGATGCTAAGCTTCAGACATTATAGAACTTGATTTCAGGCGGTTTATTAAACCATATTTTTATCTGTTATTTCCCTGTATATCTGTGATATAATAATATTGATTTCAAGCTAGCATAGTTTAGGTACATAAACATAATTTATTAACCTTGCTTAAAATACCTAAATGTTTTGTTTCTGAAACGCGCAAAACCATCCCTTGTTTCATGTTCAGTTGAAATCATACACAAGGATGACGATGATTAATGCTTCGGTTAATAAATAGAAAAAGACGTGTGCTTTTGTTTTGGCAAAGCATAACGTTTTTAACATGAAAAGCAAATGTTGGCTACTAGTGTATATATATATATATATCGGAAATTAGTAGTTTGGTATTATTTGCAATTTGGTAAATAGTTAGTTCGCGCTGTAATCTCTAATTGTCGTGGAGTGACACTTAGCTGAGTGGAGCTTGAATTTCTTTATACAAGGGCATTTCAGCATGAATAATAATGTTTTTGCACATAGCAATAGCAGTGCTTCAAAACTTTGCTATTCAACCAAGGTTAATAGCACCACTTCCGCAGTAAGTTCACAAGAATATCACTGGTAGGGACGTATTGAAAAATATCAGAGTGAACATCTTAGTCCATGAACAAATGGCGATTACAGTTATCTAACTGTTAATTTTATTAATTTAAAGTTGTGTTAGTATGAACGTAGGACACTAGGCAGCACATAAAGTTTAAGGATATGTGTAGGATGTATGCATATTAAATTATTCATTACACGTGCATGCAAAAATTTCACCAGCGCCAGTCAGATAAGTGTTCCCTCAGGTTGGTAGTAAACTTATCTTGTTCGGGAATTCCGTGGAACAAATGATAAGCAAAAACTAACTTAAGGAGACACAAAAATAATTACCTAGTGGGATTGTGTTTAACTGTGTTCTATATAACACGTTTGGTTACGTGTTGTAAAAACAGCAGAAACGCATTTCTAACGGTTATTCTGTGGTGAAATTCGCAAATAATTTTGTAACAATTATTAAGTAACATCGATGAGAATCCAGATAGCCCATATAGACCAGTCAATAGAGTTCAGAAGAGAGGCCAGTGTCTCCTCTATACTACTACTAAATAAAGTTAGATTTCAGCATTTGTGTGAGGATTTTTGACATTTTACTGTAGAAATCCTTTTCTGCACATTAATAGTCCAACATTAATTCAGTGCAACACGTAATAGTGGCTTTATTAAAGTTCAGTTAATATTGACTGCAAATATCATGATTTGATTAATTTGGTTCGCTGCAGACAACTGTGGAGTGGAGCTGAATACCACCACAACAAGAACCATATCCTGGAAAGGTCAAGGTGCGAGAAACACGCTGTGCATCTGGAGGATCAAAGGCGACGTAGGAGCCATTGTTTCGCTAAAGATTGAGGAACTCCAAGTAACCTAACACAAATGCTCTTCAAACAAAGAACTATTTAATAAATGTGCCATTGTTTACGTTGGAATTTCATAACCCTTAAAAACTCTGCTTCGTAATGTGGCGTTTAAAAGTTGTGATAAATTTTTAATTTTGTGTAGTTCACACAAATGCATATCTTCATATTGATAAAGTAATCACCATTCCCAAGTTCACTACAGGTCCTTTATTACAACTTAATTTTTGTTAGCGCTAACAGCCGTGTTTCCATTTAATATTTTTACCACATGCCTGGTAACATTAATGTAGCACGAAAAAACATTCAATCTTGCCTGCATGTATAAACGAAGTTTAATTGCGTTTTTAACTTGTCTAATTACCAGCATCTTTGTCTTTCATTTGGAGCAGAATACGCATAACCTGACATAGTTATATGCATTAACTTGCTCCTCCGTGGCCTCGAAAATTTGCTTCTGTGATGTGGTTGTTTATGCTGAATTTTCTCAACCAAATGATGTGAATTTAAGTAAGATATTGCATAATTGGTTACTCATGTTAAGATTTAGCTCGCGCTAATGCAGTGAAGACACAACATTAAGTAAAGCAGTTTAAGAACCTACGAGTTTAGGAGCACTTGCACTTTGGTACACTATATATTTTATTATAAATTAGTAGGATACTCCAATTGCACCCCGAGACATCCAGGCATCCACTAAAGGTGAGCGTTACTATGTGCTAACCATATAGGGTACATAGCAATTCAAACAAATGTAACATGTGTTACACTGTTACTCTCACTGTTCGCATTCGACCGCACCTAAATTAACTATCCGAACTTCCAAATAAATGGTGGTTTTTCAACGGCACCACTAAAACGGTATGTGCAAAGCGAATTCCACTGCGCGGGTCTTGGTTGTTTGCAATGGTTACTCGTCTGCACCTTTCAGTTTGATTTCGGATAAATTTAAGATCGAACAGCGTTTAGTATGGAATAACTTGCTCCAATAAAATACAAGGGATAATTATCAGAAAGGGTTTCAGTGGATGTAAAAGCTGTTGCATGCTGCGATTAAAGCTGCACTTTAAATTAGCGCTAACGATTGAGGCTGTTCAGTTATCATGTGAACATTTCATAATTTGCCTGGCATTCGACGGCGCAACAGAATTACTGAACTTTCATGAATCGTAAACGCTAGATCCTAAACAGGCTAACACGCAAGCTAAATGTCAGTTAAAAGTGCAGCAAATACACCTGATGTTGTATAATTTTTCTAGAGATAAAAATTAATTATGAACGTAGTAGATTAAGAGAATTTATACGACATTTTTTCACATGAATTTACCTATAGAATGGGCGCACTGACAATTTTTTTAATTTATGTTTGATGCTTATGGTTGTTCTACATTCCTCATTGTGCCAAATATTTCTACTTTGTCACGAAGCCTGCGAAATTACAGAGGGATCTCAGACAGTCATAATAAATATTAGCATAACGTTTATTAGCAGTAGTATTAAAAAGGAGGGTTGTAGCCTGAGGCACCACAACAAAAGCGTTCAACCAGATGACAGCGGTTCTAGCTTCATGGTAATATGGAGTGAATTGACTAACAAAGAAAAATGGCGGAAGAAGCTTCAAAACCCTTGCTGCATTCCAAATATATTATTTGTTTAAAGCTATGTTTAGCGTTAGCCATGATAAATTTACTAGTGGCAAACTAATTGCTTGTAGTTTCACAGCCGATTTCGCATAGCAGATTTAAAAGTCATAGCCTCAGTTACCCAAACTACATGAAATCATGTCAATTTGAAAACATATACCTTGTATTTTCGTATACGGGATTATGCGAACCCTCACTTTAGATGCCAATACGGCAGCAAGAAATTACGCAACTTGCAGTCGCTGAACTGTCCTCGTTATTGATAACTGCTGCTCAGATGACAAAACTGTGATCTGCAAACCAATGATGCAGGTTAAATATGGTAAGCTATAAATTATTCGGGAAATACAAACCCAGGAATATAATGTAAGGTTGCTTGTACTTTTTATGATAAATATTATTGCCATCCTTGAGATTTACTTAAGATTCATCCAGCAGCACGCTGGCCATTAAAAACAAGTGAACACCTGCATTTAATGAAGAAATATCTACACTAGATGATAAAGTTGATTTTTTAAAACACAAAGTTAACGGATCAGAAATAACAATATAATACTTAATCGCCTACACTTGCTTTTTTATATTCTCTGATTTGACACGGTTAAAAATTATGTTTCACGAAGTTAAAGGATTCAAATAATTTTAATTTTGACAGCTGGAAATAGAAAGCGGTTTTCTCAGAGTTTTGGATGGAAGTGATTGCGGTGCAGATGTTATATACTTGTACAGAGGGAACTCGACATTCCAACCTCGGACGATTTACAGTACTTCAAATGCTCTGGTCATTGTTCTGGCAGTGCCAAAAGAATACGTTGATCACATGTACTCAAGCTATTCTTTCCGTGAGTTCGAACAAACTACGAAATGCTATGCAAACTTAGTATCTCTTGGTCGCTCAAATGTCACATGTGAAATGTTTAATAAAGTAAACTATTTTGCACTTGCCAAGAAGAACAGACTATCAGTCATCGCAGATGGATTGTGGGAGAAAAGTAGGATATAAAATGTATACGAGATTATTGACCCATATTGATTTTAACGGGTACTAAAATAATGCGAACTGGATGGGTAATTGTATAAATTGAAAGGTGAACATTTACGTAAATGAGGCACATTACAACTGCGTAACCTATGACACGGGGAAAATTGCAGATCTGTATTTAATTCGGCATCGAAGTATCCTAGCGAAATGTTGCGTATATTGACTATTTGTATTTCCTTTTGCATAAAATCCTGCTGGCAAGTAAGCATATATTGAATTCAAGTTTAATCAATCGAATGTACATTTGGTTGCCTTGGAAGGTTATATTTTCACCATATATAAGTGACAGTTGTATTATTCGATTGCTTTTGTTATCTTTAGTAAGTGCATGTGGCGATAAATTAGGAACATGCAATTAATTAATACAGTTACTTATCTGACATGGAATCCGAGTGGTAACCACATTTTTGGCTCAATACCTCTTGCTCCAAAAGTACCAAAAGCCGAAGTAATCTCATCGTTACGGTCTGCATTTATAAACCAAGAAATCTTAACCGTGAACGTACTTAAACACCTGCCTAAGTTTACCATATTTAAGACGGAAATATTTGATCGCCTTGAGCAGAGGGTCACCATATATGATTCGTGCCAGTGAACAATAATCATAGGCCACTTTGGACGTGTTATGAGTTGGTCGCTACAGACAGGTGGTCGCAATGGAAAGTTAGACGGGAATATTAATATGAATCAAAAACTATTTAGCAGGGATCGTAACTAAACACTACGCAGACTCAATTCCATTAAGGCTAAACCAACTTGGCCACTTTTGTAGCTGTGGTATATACGGAGATCACAAAATGTAAAGTAAAACCATTTGTTAATGTTTCTTGAAACAAACAAAAACTGGCAATAATTTAAACAATGGTTAGTAATTTTACGTGAAATTGTTTATCCAGTAGCAAAAAGTGAAGCAACTGTGCATTCGGAAAATAATTTTACTTGTCTCATAAACACTACTACGGTTATCTATTTCTATGACAGCACTGATTGTAAATTAATAGAGCTGGTTAAGCCAAGTGCGTATTGAGAATGTGGTAGTGCACTTGTGAATTAGAAATCGAGAATCTGAATGATAGCTCTAATGATTTATGAGTATCTCTGGATTATTTAACCTTTCATCTCGCCACGCATCTTCATATGTGCACATGGACAGATGTAGGATTGATAAGATAATTGTCCTAACAAAGAAAGTTAAAGAAGGATTATTTCCATGCTTATACTCTTATTTATGTAAGCTTTTCGTCCCTAAACCCTATCCTGAGCACAAGTGTCTACTGTACTGTGTGTTCAGAAAGCTCATAGAATCAACTGTCAGGCACGCACGACTTGGGTTGTAACAACCCTGGCAGAAGTATTTTAATGCAGAGAAAAGTACTGCAAAATATGGAAAACATATTCTTGGACTAACCGCGGTACATGATAACAAGATTTGAATAAGTGCGCACGTTGACAAACATGAAAAGCGAAGGGTACAGCAGGTTGCCGACTCGATGTTCGCGCAATGCGTTGCCAAGGCGGTGAGGCGCGACCCAAGTCGCAAGAGGAGGACAGAAACAAATTTAGGTGACTCTGCTCTCTTCACTCCTCAGTTGACTTTCGATCCCACCCTAACTAGAGAAGCGATATCAATTTTTAGGTGACATGGTTAGTTCCGCACGCAATGCAACCGTCACTCTATGCTGTTACCTACTACCCCATCTAAGACGCTGTCCTCAGAATCTGCTACCTGCCTTGCAAGCTTCAGCTCGTTAAACTCACGACTTTCGATGGTTCTGGTAAACCAGGTCTCAAGATTAGATAGGTTATGTGCAACAATACGTAGTGCATTAAATATGACTCTTCCTATTTGCGGTGAACATTTGCTGGCACTCTTGAACTGGCACACTTGTTTTCAACTGAAATGTATCATTGGGTTTGAACAGGCTCCCAAAAGATGCGAAAAAATTGCCCTTTCGGTTGCTGCTGTGAGGCCAACAGAATTGCTTTTGCTATCTTGATGTGCTCGGACAACACTAGATTACATCCAGAGTATGTGTTCGGCTAAGATAAGTAGTTCGTGATGCAATATCGGGATCGGCTTAGCGAAATTTAAAAGCAGTTTTCGTCACGTCATCATAAGATGAAGTTTAGCCCGTTAAAGAGTAAACGAAAGCTCAATAGACGAGAGAACATTTCGAAAATTGGTATACCATTCCAGTGTTGGCTCCTCGTGTAGAAATTATTTCAATAAGGATTTTGTTGCATTTGGTTCGCCCAACTGCTCCGTGCCCTTTTTGATGGTGCGGTTGTCCGAGTTTCTCGGATACAGAATATATGGCATGGCTCGATCATAAGTAACTCTCATTATAAGCTCCGCAGTTGGATTACAAATGATAGGATGATCTACATTTTGCCACCCAGTCGCTAAAAATAAATTTTACAACGCTCATTGCACCAATAGTTCTGGTAATGTTGCCCTTATCTATGCTCTCATTGTTTCCAACCCAGCCGGAGAAGAAACGAAACAGGGAAGCCGGCTAGACCAATTATATTAAGCACAGCACACGGATAATTTTATAAATCACCTGCTGTCATCTCCGGCTGCACGATCTGAGCCGATTCACGCCACTTACTTGGACAGATTCCATAATTACCAGCGGTTCTCAACTGACAGCTGCGGTTGCACCTGCTCTAGCCTCTCCCCTGTGATTTAACCATGCAAACACATGTCGGGTGGCAACCCTTCTCATGCTGACGTACTGGTTATATCAGCTTCCGGTTTGACTATAGCAACACGTTTGTAAGCCGCTCAAGGGGACTGGCTATTTGCGCATTGCTATATTGTACTATCGTTGTCCTCCTGTTTGCCCCCTGTCAACATAACGCAGAGAAACAGCTTTACACCACTTGGTAAACTAATCTATCGTATCCAGACGTCAGTATCCTATAACAGTCATGGGTAAGACACCGAGGCTACCACACCCTCAATATACATTAGAATTATTTTCAAGCTGGATCGCAATGGTACACGCCGGGTGGTTTTAGGGTCCGTAATTCGTACGCAGTCTGCACACGACTACAAATGTATTGCGATATTTGATCGTAAAAGCAGCTACCAAAGCCAACGCCGAATAGTACATTTTCTACTTTATTTTCCGGGGTGTCCTGATTCCTCTTCTTTGTAATACTTCCTGGATTGTAGATGTGAGATCGACCACTATCCGGATATAATCAGGCCCGTTCTGAAAGTAGAAGATGCGATTAATCACGCATAAATGTGGCCTAAGTGACCAGAGACAACTAGTCTCCCTACTGGCACCAGCCATTTCCTGTTACATGGGCCTGTCATTGGGTTGCACGTTACGGTAGTACAATGGGCTCAAATTTTGGTCAGTTGAATGTAGTTGCATTATCTGGTCAGTTTATGCGAAACTACTGAGGCTGGCGGATTTGCAATAGTCGTACAGGACAGACGTGGTCCATGGTTCCTGGGCGTCCTCCGTGAGTATGCCTCAGCATTTGCATGCTGTATTACTGAATCATTTTGACATACACAATCATATTATTGCAGCATTTCGTTAGACTCAGTCATTAAATACTACTTTAACAATCTTACTGCCGTGTTTTCCTGGTTGGGGAAATCCAACTTTACGGCCTAGAATTTCCGGATGCGCTCCGTAAACAATTAAAGGCGGAACTGCATGACATATTTGTTGGTTCACCTATGTACCATCCTGTAACCTATCCAAGACTTTTCAGGATAGGAAAATAACAGGTCAATTAAAAGCTCGGTTTTACCAAAGTGGAACTCATAATCGACGTATTAAAAAACCTGCAGTAGTTTTGGACCGCAGTGATCATGCGATACTGGTGTTTTACTTGCATGCGTTACGCAGCGTATCCTAGAGAGCATAACGAGGAATCCCAAGCCATAAAAATTATGACGATGTGTCCGAAATCCTTGGGGCAACAAGCTGGTCGTTCCTAGTCGTATAATCCTCTTGGGTTGCCGACGGAGAATTCGGAAACAGGTTCAACAAACATGTACATTTGAATCTAAATTCCACGGATAATAATTGTGAAGTCTTTGGAAAAACAGCGCATATAAATGAGAGACCCGGAGGGACGACCTGGCTCACAAACATATCCCATCCGAAAGAAGACAATTGGGATATCTACACAATACAAAGGAATTGCTGTGCCAAAGTAATCCTAGTGGATAAAATTAAGGACCAACAAGACGTAGTAGCAAACGTCACTTTAATGTCAAAATGATCTACAGACACTTAAAATGCTGCGTAGAGTTAAGGGCAGAATTCCTTCTTTGTACACAACATGCAGGTCGGCACAGGCAGTTAAAGATTTGGATAACTTTATTGAACAACTGTTTGGCACTAAATTCCAACGCGTGCAATGATTTTACATCCTGTCCACGCAGATCCCGCCGCCAACAGGAGTTAATCACCTACAGTTTACATCAAATGATATACCGTAGGGGCTGACGTCCTTGTGTGAGTTCAGCTTTCTGCGTGGGGATGGCATTTGCAAAAAGGCATGGAAAGTTTCCGTCGTCAGTTTAGCGAAATAACTAGAAATTCTCTTTCAGCGTTGTCTTAAATTGCTGTACGTCATTACGATTTCGAAGCACCGGATTATAACTCCCTTTTCCGAAAGTGCTGGCCAAGATGAACCAGCAACTTATCGCCGCATAACACCAATTCCGGTGATCTTCAAGATTATGGAGTCAATTGTAGTTGTGACTTTATTGGGTTACCGAATGAATGACAAAGTATTTTTTCTGAGCAGCATGGATTTTGCCAA